TTTTTATTACATTAACTTCCAGTGTGTAAATTATTTAGGTGTAAGTAATTTGTTGTCTTTTTTTATTACATTAACTTCCTGTGTGTAAATTATTTAGGTGTAAGTATTTTTTATTACATTAACTTCCTGTGTGTAAATTATTTAGGTGTAAGTAATTTGTTGTCTTTTTTATTACATTAACTTCCAGTGTGTAAATTATTTAGGTGTAAGTAATTTGTTGTCTTTTTTTATTACATTAACTTCCTGTGTGTAAATTATTTAGGTGTAAGTATTTTTTATTACATTAACTTCCTATGTGTAAATTATTTAGGTGTAAGTATTTTGTTGTCTTTTTTTTACCGTACACTCCGTCTATGAAATCTGTCTGGTCTTATGATCAGCTATTTATTTAGGCCATTTTATTTTAGTCCTAACAACAGTAATAATACAGAGGAATAGTGTTTAACCAGTGTACAACATTGTTTCCATATGAAGACAGTCACTTTCCTATCCTGTTTCTATTCAGCTATTTATTTAGGCCATTCTATTTTAGTCCTAACAACAGTAATAATACAAAGGAATAGTGTTTAACCAGTGTACAACATTGTTTCCATATGAAGACAGTCACTTTCCTATCCTGTTTCTATATGAAGACAGTCACTTTCCCATCCTGTGTTTATATGAAGACAGTCACTTTCTCATCTATGTTTTTCCGTGTGTGTTTAGGGTTCTTGCTACCCTGCTTAGAAAATCCGAATGGTTCCTGATTAACTCAGTATTGGGTCAATCAGCAAGATAGTGTAACAAGTAATAGTTCCTGATTAACTACATGTAAGTATTGGGTCAATCAGCAAAAGAGTGTAACAAGTAATGGTTCCTGATTAACTAAGTATTGGGTCAATCAGCAAGATAGTGTAACAAGTAATGGTTCCTGATTAACTCAGTATTGGGTCAATCAGCAAGATAGTGTAACAAGTAATAGTTCCTGATTAACTACATGTAAGTATTGGGTCAATCAGCAAGATAGTGTAACAAGTAATGGTTCCTGATTAACTACATGTAAGTATTGGGTCAATCAGCAAGATAGTGTAACAAGTAATGATTCCTGATTAACTAAGTATTGGGTCAATCAAGGAGTTAGAGAAACAAGTAAAAGTCCCTGATTTACTAAGTATTGGGCCAATCAGTGAATTAGGGGAACAAGTAAAGGTTCCTGATTTACTCAGTAATGGATCAATTAGCGAGTTATTGGAACATTTAAAGGTCACTCATTTACTCAATACTGCGTTAATCAACGAGTTACGGGAAAAAGTAAAGGTCACTGACAAACTCAATATTGGGTCCAATGAGTATTTCCGCAATTCAGAGAGTTTACAATACAGTTCTGGAAAACTTTTCTACTTAGACACGAACTTTTAGTTTTTATTTAAACTTCATCAGCAATCAGTTCTACCCCTGTATAACTTCCCCAAACATCTGGATCAGTTGAGGATTGTACCATTGTTTGTTTAATGGATCAATAGGGTATGTAACAGCAGTTTGCAGTAAAACAACTCAAGATATTGGTTCTTGAAGGATATACGCTTTTGTGCTTGTTGTTTCTTTAAATCCAGAGTAACGTTCAATGTCCTAAGGATCTAGTTAACAATAACGTGTTTCGGTTTCTGGTAGAATAAACAATGCTGTAATAATCAAGTTTACCAATGTTAACAATAACGTGTTTCGGTTTCTGGTAAAATAAACAATGCTGTAATAATCAAGTTTACCAATGTTAACAATTACGTGTTTCGGTTTATGGGAGAATAAACAATGCTGTAATAATCAAGTTTACCAATGTTAACAATAACGTGTTTCGGTTTCTGGTAGAATAAACAATGCTGTAATAATCAAGTTTACCAATGTTAACAATAACGTGTTTCGGTTTCTGGGAGAATAAACAATGCTGTAATAATCAAGTTTACCAATGTTAACAATAACGTGTTTCGGTTTCTGGGAGAATAAACAATGCTGTAATAATCAAGTTTACTAATGTTAACAATGATATACTCAGGTTTTTGATATAATAAACAATACTCTAAGGATCTAGTTTACCAATGTTAACAATGATATACTCAGGTTTTTGATATAATAAACAATACTCTAAGGATCTAGTTTACCAATGTTAACAATAGCGTGTTCAGGTTTCACACTGTATTAAAGCTTTGGTATACAACACACAAAATACATTACATCAGACAAAGTTGAATCCAAAACACAAATGTAGTAGCAACAATCAGGAGTTTAAGTTAATGAATTAATTTACATGTAGTAACCGACCATAAAATCAATTTTATTAATCTAAAACTTTCGCACAAAACAAGAGAGCTTTGATCATGGAACTCGATGTAAAACTTTCATACAAAACATAGGTTATCCTTAAGAAAGTTTGATCATGGAACTCGATGTAAAACTTTCACACAAAACATAGGTTATCCTTGAGAAAGTTTGATCATGGAACTCGATGTAAAACTTTCACACAAAACATAGGTTATCCTTAAGAAAGTTTGATCATGGAACTCGATGTAAAACTTTCACACAAAACATAGGTTATCCTTAAAAAAGTTTCGTCATGGAACACGATGTAAAACTTTCACACAAAACATAGGTTATCCTTAAGAAAGCCTTGATCATGGAACTCGATGTAAAACTTTCACAGAAAACATAGGTTATCCTTAAGAACGTTTAATCATGGAACTCGATGTAAAACTTTCACACAAAACATAGGTTATCCTTAAGAAAGCCTTGATCATGGAAATCGATGTAAAAATTTCACCTTTCATAAATATAACCAGTTTTCTTTGATCATAGAAGTCGATGTAAAACTTTCACACAAAACTGGTTATATTTATGAAAGCTTTGATCATGGAAGTCGATGTAAAACTTTCACACAAAAATGGGTATATTTATGAAAGCTTTGATCATGGAAATCGATGTAAAACTTTCACACAAAAATGGGTATATTTATGAAAGCTTTGATCATGGAAATCGATGTAAAACTTTCACACAAAACTGGTTATATTTATGAAAGCTTTGATCATGGAAGTCAATGTAAAACTTTCACACAAAAATGGTTATATTTATGAAAGCTTTGATCATGGAAGTCGATGTAAAACTTTCACACAAAACTGGTTATATTTATGAAAGCTTTGATCATGGAAGTCGATGTAAAACTTTCACACAAAACTGGTTATATTTATGAAAGCTTTGATCATGGAAGTCGATGTAAAACTTTCACACAAAACTGGTTATATTTATGAAAGTTTTGATCATGGGGGTCGATGTAAAACTTTCACACAAAAATGGGTATATTTATGAAAGCTTTGATCATGGAAGTCGATATATATGTATCCTTTAGTACACGTGTATAACATATAATGCAAATACGTTGCGCATCAAATGTCTTTTACACCAAGACACGATAGCATAAAAAAGTCGAATGTTCATTGGTTAAGTAAGCTGAACAGTATTTAGGGTTTCATTTACACTTCATCGTAGTATTTTACTTTATCAAAGGTCATTATCTGATAAAATAAATAATACAAATCCGTTAAGTTAAAACTGTTTTAGAAGTTCTTGGAGTTACTACTCAACAACAGATTTGAATGATCATCAGTCAGAAGTGGAACGCGGACGTTCGAGATCGACGAATTGGAATTTTCAATCCGAATGGCATCTTATGTTCGCATGCTAAAAGAGTCAGGTTAAAGACTCCTAGGGTTCAGGTATAGCCGTCCTTAATTTTCAACTAGTGACCAGAGAGAAGACAGCTGGAAAGTCGCCAAAAGGGTTTTGTATGGCTCCTTTAACCGAAAAACGTGACTGACTGTCACTTTCACACACGAAGTTCGGAATGTGCTCAGCGGCATTAACGCTTCGAACTTTGGACCTTTTGATCCACAGCCCGGCACCTAACCACAAAATCACATCTTCTCAAGGATGTATAAGAAATTCACGAAATGAAACAAATTATTAACTAATTAGCTAAATGAGTATCTTTTGTTGATAGCTATTTAAAGTAACACACGTTTTCCTACCTTTGTAATGTGATCTAGCTTTAATAGCAGATTTTGTGGGTTTCTCTGCTGGAAGAAAAGAAATACACATTTTAGATATTGAGAACTGCACATTTACATGTTTTCTTAACAGGTGTCAGTTGTATACGTTAAATTTGAAATTCTTCTTAAAAGACGTTGTGTTCTAAGAAAAATTCACTTGCAAAAAAAAAACACAAAATAATTTTACTTATTCAGCAGGAATTTCATGGTAATTAAAAGAACGAACGTTAGACCAAAGTAATGATTTTGTGGTAAAAACACGTTCTTTTAATTACCATGAAATTCCTGCTGAATAAGTAAAATGATTTTGAAACGTTAGACCAAAGTAATGATTTTGTGATAAAAACACAAAATAATTTTACTTATTCAGCAGGAATTTCATGGTAATTAAAAGAACGAACGTTAGACCAAAGTAATGATTTTGTGATAAAAACACAAAATAATTTTACTTATTCAGCAGGAATTTCATGGTAATTAAAAGAACGAACGTTAGACCAAAGTAATGATTCTGTGATAAAAACACAAAATAATTTTACTTATTCAGCAGGAATTTCATGGTAATTAAAAGAACGAACGTTAGACCAAAGTAATGATTCTGTGATAAAAACACAAAATAATTTTACTTATTCAGCAGGAATTTCATGGTAATTAAAAGAACGAACGTTAGACCAAAGTAATGATTCTGTGATAAAAACACAAAATAATTTTACTTATTCAGCAGGAATTTCATGGTAATTAA